TGGCACTCGCTCTGGAGACCAGGTTGGTCTCAAACTCACAGAGATCCACCTGCCTCTGCCTCCCGAGTGCTGGGATTAAAGGAGTGCGCCGCCAACGCAAGGATTTTCAGGGTTTATAGATTTAGAAGCACCTTTGGGGGATTTGGTCCTTACTTTGTTTTGTTTGTTTGTTTGTTTGTTTGTCTTTTTTTTTTTTTTTTGAGACAGTCTCTCACTATGTAGCCCTGACTGGCCTGGAACTCAGAGAATTCTGGCTGCCTCTGCTTTCTGAGTTCTGAGATTAAAGGTGTGACCGCCAAGCCTGGTTCACTTTGGGGTTAATTTTTATTTATTTATGTGTGTGTGTGTGTGTGTGTGTGTGTGTGTGTGTCCCTGCATATATGTGTATAACTGGAGTAGGTCAGAAAAAAGTATCAAATCCCTGGAACTTGACTTAGAGACAGTTTTGAGCTACCATGTGGGTGCTAGGAATAAAATCCAAGTCCCCTGGAAAAGCAGTCAGTGCTTTTAACCATAGAGCTATTTTTCCAGCTCTCACTTTGGGATTTTAAAGAGTTTTCATCTATTAATATCACCGTCTAGCTGGGAGGGATAGAGCCAGATGAATTTCTGTGAGTTCAAGAGCAGCCTGATCTACGTAGTGAATTCTAGGACAGCATGGGCTACATAGACAGACCTTCTCACCCCTTTCTAAAGGTCTCAAGTCACCGTTCTCAGACTAGAGAGTTTGTATTTCAGCCTTTGGCATCCCATTATTGATGCCTGAATTCTGAGATCAATGTCTGGGAATTTGCTAATTTTAGTTTTAGATCCAAATTTTAGGAGCTTAAATTTGTCATTTTGGATTTGTGATCCTGTATTTAGAGTTTAGGGTTTTAATTTAGATCCCTGTGCCCATAGTTATGACCTGTTTTAGGATCTTTGAGTGCTTTTAAAGATGCACCATGGGGGTGGGGAAGGGTGTGCATTATTTGCCCCACTCATTTTGGAGTCCCAAAGGTCACTAATAATTTGTTTCTCTCTGTGCAGATGTTGGGTTCCAGCAGATACATGTGTTTCCCTGATGAGCTGAGAGCTAGTTTCTTGAGTCCTACTGACAGGTAATGGTCCTCCCAGCCCCACCCCCCAGAACAGTTTCCCCCACTCTGACTGAATAGAACAATAGTAACAACACAATGTTACTAAACACTCACTGTTTCCAGATTGTTTATTTAGACCTTTGATTGTATCTAGTAACCACTATAGCCACCAGACAAAGAAGCAGATGGGAATATTCCCACCATTTCCCAGAGAGAGTTCTGAGGTGATTTCAGACTTTGATGTTTTGGGGTTGTTTTTTTTTTCTGTTTGTTTTTGATTGTTTTGCCAGTGCTGGATATGAGTCCAGGTCCTTATGATGTGAGGCGCTAAGAAACTTTTTTTTTAAATCACTATTCTACATCCACAGCTCCCATTGCGACGATTCTTTCTTTTTTAATTTTCTGTTTTATTTCGTGCATGCAGTGCCTGTGGAGGCCAGGAGAGGGCACCAGATCTCTCTAGAATTGGTGGTACAAAGAGTTGTGAGCCACTTTGTGGGTGCTGGGATGGCAACCTGGATCCCCTATAAGGGCAGTAAGTGCTCTTAATTGCTGAACCATCTCTCCAGCCCCTCTAATTCTGAGGTTCTTAAATGTTCTTATTCACCCACCCATCAACACACTTATTAAATGCTAGGAATCGTTTGGATGCTGGGGGTGAGAGGGAACACTAAAATGGCCCTCAAGGCCACATGCATGATAGGCAACGCTCTTCCACTGAGCTATATCCTCAGCTATGGGAATCTGAAAAGGGGGATTCATATAGCAGATTGAGGGTTGGACTGGATTCCCTCTCCATCCATCCAGTCTGGACAAATTAAGAACAGTTGGAGTTCCTTTTACTGTCTTCCCCTTAATGGATGTCCATTCAAACTGCCTCATTCATTCATTAACATCACAGTTAGGCACCTCCTTTGCTCTGGTCCTCTATGTAGGTACTATGCTCAGAAAGAACACCATGAGGAAAATGAAGAATCATGTATCCTGCAGCCCATTGCTTCCTAGAATCTTAGTCATCGACAGTTCAGGCTCTTGCTTTTCTGTTTCTAGATGAGGGATCTTTATAATAATAAAGACTCTTGGTTGCAGTGGGTAGAAACATAGCTAAAATTAGCTTAGGCATAAAAGGATATTTTCTGGATTTTTTAAACAAAAATTCAGGGATACCGAGGCATGGCTGGTCCCAGACAAGGATTGAATGGTTTTGCTGGGGCTCTGCTTGCCTTGGCTCTATCTTTCTTATCAAGCAGACTCTCCCTAGGGATAAGGCAAGATGACTCCTAGCTGCTCAAGTCCATATCCTGCCTGCTTGATCACCCCTGGCCCCCCACCAGAGCCTCTTTTCAAGACTTACTCAGTTAGTGATGGTAACTTCTTGGATGGGCCTTGGTTCTACGTTCCCTTTCAGTGGGAGAAAGAGCATCAGCCACTCTGAACAACATGAACAGAGAGAGAATAGAGGAGAAGCTGTCCAAAGGACAATTGAGGTGCTACTACCAGGGAGGGGGAATGGGATGTTGGTTAAGCAAGAACAGCAATTATCAACAAGTCATTCAATAATCTATGTGCCTCATTATTTAGCACCCTTAACTCCTAAATAATTGTGAGAAATGATTGTACCTTCTTTTTTCAGTTTTCATGAGACAAGGTTTAGCTCTATTCTGGGTTGGCCTTAAGTTCATAACAGTCCTTCTGCCGCATACACTCAAGGACTGGAATTACAGGTGCAAACCATGCAAGGAAATGAACGAATAAGATCTGGAAGAGGGTTTGATGGACAAAGTGCTTGCCGAGCAAATCATGAGGGTGTGAGTTTGATCTCCTGGAACCCACGTGGAAAAGCCGGGGCAACAGCACATGCCTGGGGCAACAGCACATGCCTGTGTGCTCAGGGAAGGTGGGGACAAGAAGACTCTTAGGCCTACTGGCCAACCAGTCTAGCTGAGTCAATGAGCGCCAGGTTGAGAAAGAGACTGTTTGAAAACATAAGGTCGGGAGTGATTCAGAAAGACACTAAATTTGGACCTCAGGCTTCTATACACTCATATATTTGTGCACATGTGTGCATGCACACACACACACACATACACACACACAAATAAGTAAATAACAGGGCCAGATAAAGCTTTGGAGTATTTATTTATTATCTGTTGTTTGCAGTATTGAGAATTGAACCCAGGGGTTTATGTGTGATGGGTGAGCACTGGTGTGTTTTTAAAAATAAAATCGTGGGGCTGGAAAGATCGCTCAGCAGTTAAGAGCACTTGCTGTTCTTGCAGAGAACTAGGTTCTGTTTCTAGCACTCATGTTGTGGCTCACAGTCATCATAACTCTAGTTCTAGGGCATTCAACTCCCTCAGGAATTCTGACCTCTGAGGGCACCAGCCATGCATACATGCATGTAGGCAAAACATGAATATATATAAAAATAAAAAAATTTAAAGAATAAAACCCTGAGCCAGATATGTTGGTACATACCTGTAATCCCAGCATCCAGGAGGCAGGCAGATCTCTTGAGTTTGAGGCCAGCCTGGTCTACAGAATGAGTTCCAGGACAACCAGAGCTACACAGAGAAACCCTGTCTTGAAGAAAAAACAAGAACAGATAGTTCAAGGCCAGCTTCCACTACATAGAGAAACTCGATGTCAACCTAGGCTATCTATAACACACCCTGTCTCAAAAACAAGAAAGTAGTTCTGGGTTAGCTAAGGTAACAATGATAACCCTGAACCACACTACTGGTCTCAGCTACCGAGGAGGTCAAGGCAGAAGGGCATGGAGCCCAGGAATTTGAGGCCAGCCTAGGTAGCACAGTGTGCCCAAAGACAACACTCCTCAAAATGGCAGTCAGTGAAGAGGTCACTTGGAATCCAGTTTATGACATTTTTCTCTTCATCCCACCATTCAGATGACTAGTGTGTGTGGTGTCTGTGTTCACCAACATTTGAGGAGATGAGCAAGAGTGCTGTCTGCTGCAGGAAGCCCTTTAAGAGCTTTCCATGGGTCCTAGATTAAAGATAAAAGTCTGTACTGGGAGCCTTCAGGGCCATGCTTCACCCAGGATGTCTCCTCCAGCCTTGTCCCCTTTGCTTTCTGGGCTCCAGGGCTTGTGTTTTATGTTTCTTGAGTTCTCCTTGCTCCTTTATGCTACAGGGCCTTTGCAGGTGTTCCTCTGCCTGGATTGTTCCCTACTCCTTCTCACCCCTTCGTATCCTCTACACTAGATTCTGTCAGTCTAGGAAAATCTAATTTTCCTCAGATTTAGTTCCTGAGGAAAAGACCTCACTGGCTAGGCTGGAGTTCCAGGTTACAGGCCCCTCATTTTGTAGGTCGAAGCCTGCTATTACAGCATTCGCAACCAAGCAACACGTCTCCTTTACCTTCCATCAGAGCCATCTTGATGGATGTTTGCATGCAGTCACACGCGGCCTAGTGCTTAAAATGTCAAACAATGGGGTGCTGGGTAGCTAGTCAGTACAGTGTGGTGTGCAAGATTAAGGACATGAGGTGGAATCTCTAGCACCCACACATATAAACAAGTGCTGAGGAGACAGAGCTAGGAGCATTGAGATTAAGTCAGGTAGCCTAGCTGTATCTGTGAGTTTCAGGTTCAGTGAGAGACTCTGTCTCCAAAACTAACATGGAGAGTAACTAAGGACAACACCTGCTATCAACCTCTGACACGCATTTGTGTGTGCGTGCATGCGTGTGCGGGCACACACACAGAGAGAGAGAGAGAGGGAGAGAGAGAGAGGAGAGACTTAAAAGAGCTAAGTGATGAGTGCAATGCTTTGCTTTCTCTACCTTGAAGCCCTTATTAAGCAAATGACCCCGTGTCCCCCTCAAACTTTACATAGCTCATTCTGATCTGAGTTGCTGTTTTATGTTTGTGTAAACGTGGTTGAGTTCCTTATTTCTGACTATACCCTCAGCTCCAGAAGAACTGTTTGCTCTTTATGCTCTTGTCCTTGCCCCTCACAATTCACGACACACAGTAGGTGCTTGCTAACTAATTGCTGAATGAATGGGTGAGAAAGATGTCTGTAACATCTACCAAATTATTCTATGGGAAGGGAGGGGGTGGCACTGTGTGTGTGTGAATCAGATGACAACTTGCAGGAGTCAGTTCTCTCCTTCTACCACATAGGCTCCAGAGATGGAACACAGGTTATCAGGGTTGTCCACACCTTCACACAGTGAACACTTTCAGGCCCTTGTTTGCCGCCGCTGCCACCACCACCCCCACCACCACCACCACCACCACCACCACTTCATTCCTGTTGTTCCTTTTCTTCTCTTTCTTTCTTTCCTTCCTTCTTTCTTTCTTTCTCTTTCTTTATTTTTTGGTTTTCTTTGGGGGGGGGTTCTAGACAGGGTTTCTCTGTGGCTTTGGAGGCTGTCCTGGAACTAGCTCTTGTAGACAATGCTGGTCTCAAATTCACAGAGATCTGCCTGTCTCTGCCTCCCGAGTGCTGGGGAGTGCACCCCAGCACCACCGCCTGGCTCTCTCTCTTTCTTTCTTTCTTTCTTTCTTTCTTTCTTTCTTTCTTT